GGTTCATAGACACTTCCTTGTTTCTCTGGCAGTTAACAATTTCCAAATTGGACAGACAGACTCTAAATACCTTTTCTCATAAAGAACTGTTGAAAAATAGAATAAACTCAATTCTGGGTTCATTAATTTCAGCAAACTAAGGAAAATTAAGACATCAAGTACAGGGCTGCATTACCCAGGAGCAGTGAAAAAAAGGCTGAAGGCACTGGAAAAAAAGAGTCACACAAATTCACTGTTCTTATTACTATGACATTTTCAAAGCAAGAGGAGGAAAAAAAGGTATTTTTAAAACAATTTCTAGAAATGCATATGCTTGAACCATAAAATACACCTTAGACCATCTGTAAAGAGTATAAAGATATAATTTAATACACAACGAATACTACATTTGAAAAAGATGCAGTTTAGCTTTGGTAAGGAGAGAACATGAATTTTTAAATCAATCAACAAGTTACAATTTCACAAGACCTTAATTTACCAGATTTATAAAATTCGAGTGTCAAATTAAGATATTTCTAAGATCTCTCCAAATCTCACTCTATCCAAGTCTCAGCTCAAATGTCACCTTACCAGGGGCCATCCCTGGCCACCTCTTAAAGTGGCACCTGCACACTGCTCTTTATCCTCTCACACTGCTTTATTTTCAAGGTACATATTACTAGGCCTATGATATATAGTCATGTGCAAGATAATAATGATTCAGCCAATGATGGACCACTTATATGAGCGTGGTCCCATGAGACAGTAATACCATATTTTTACTCTACCTTTTCTATATTTAGATACACAAACACTTGTCATTGTATTACAACTGCCTACAGTATTCAGTGTAGCAACAGGCCACAGGTCTGTAGCCTAGGAGCAATAGACTATAGCATACAGCCAAGGTGTGTAATGGGCTATTCCATCTAGGTCTGTGTAAGTACACTCTTTGATGTTTGCACGATGATGAAATCGCCTAATGACACATTTCTCAAAACATATCCTGTTGTTAAATGGTGCGTAACTGTATTTATTTCTTCTCTCACCAAGACACAGGAGCCACACCAGGAACTCGGTCAGCTGTGCTGCATCACCAGGGTCCAGAACACTAAGTAGCATCTAGTAGGTATACAAATAGTTTTTCGACAAAAGCACAGACCCATTCTAGCTCCGCAGTTCAAAATACTAGGTTCAGTGAAGCAACCTTGTGTTTGTAGCCAAATACAAAATTCTAACAGTGATTTAAGAATATAACTTTCAACAAAGTTTAAGAGTATAGGACTTTAATATTAGTAAGAAATTATACTAAATTATATTAATATGCAACTATTACAGAAGATAACACACAAATGATCAGGTCAGGTTCAAATCCTGGCTCTACTCTTTACTGTGTAACCTTAACTCCTCTTTGTCTCAGTTTGTAAAATAGTGATTAAAAATAGCATGGGCCAGGCATGATGGCTCATGCCTGTAATCCCAACACTTTGGGAGGATGAGGTGGAAGAACTGCTTGATTCCAGGAGTTTGACCAGCCTGGGCAACATAACCAGAACCTGTCTTGACAGAAAAAAGAAAAAAAAATTAGCTGGGGGTGATGGCACATGTTTGTAGTCCTAGCTACTTGGAAAGCTGAGGCAGGAGGATGGCTTCAAACCAGGAATTTGAGGCTGCAGTGAGCTGTGACAGCACCACTGAACTACCTCCTGGGCAAAAGGTAAAATGTAAAAATGTGCTGGAGTAGAATATGTGAAAGGGGGATCAGGGCACATGCAAAGCTCAGGCTAAGACATATGGCACCAGAGGGGCATCCATGCCTGTCACCTCTGCAGTGGATCTGGGTAGGGCTCAGCCCACTAAGCATTAGGCTGTTCCCTGGGGCCTGGAATCCATGTGATGGTGGTATGCACAGCTGGGCCAGACATTGCCAGTGTGCTGTCTTTGGACTGGTGGGCTCCCTCCAGCCATTGTCCTTGTATATACAATCACTGGCAGTTCTGTCTCAAGAGAATACATATACTGCTCATAAAAAGGTATACAGATTTAAATTTAGACCCAAGCAGGCATCAGCTCAGCCATTTGAACCTGAAAGCTGTGAGAAAGATTCTGAAAATTGGTTGTGCTGCTGGGTTTGTCCTCAGGATATGCGCTGGATTGATATGAACAGGTTTGTGGCTGGACAGGCAAGCAAGTAACGATGGCATGATCAATTCTTGGTGAAGTCAAGTCTGCATGATTCTGAAGAACTGACTAGTTCTGGATCCTGACATTTGTCTAGACCCTAATGTTGCCCAAATGGGGTTCCGAATACAGAGCATCAGCTGTCCCTCAGGCTATGGCATAGTTAATTGTAAATCCTGAATTCATCCCCACAACCTAGGACAGAGAAGAAATGAAGCAGGTTTTATAGGGTTCAGCTTCTACATAGTCGTCCAGGTCAAAGAGAGAGAAATGAGAAGCATTTCAGTAGCTCCTACAACAACAGAGTTGGCTTTTGTCACATATGGCAGCCAAGACAGCCAAGGGAAACAGCCGGAGCTTCAAGTAGTTGACTCTGGAAATGACTTCTTGGGTGACCGCAGCAGCAGCCAACCCACTTAGCACCTGTTGGTGGCTACTCGCACAGCTACCAACAGGTGATCTGAAAGACTCAGGTCATTCATTTGCAACAGTACATTTTAAATTCCAAGCTAGAAAAAATAAGTACTACATGGGAGAGTGAAAAGAAGGTAGAAACATCTAAATAAATTATGTTTAAAGCTTCATGATACAGTGTTGATCCTCCCGGGAAAAATCATAATACAAGTCAAAGCTGGCTTGAAAAAGGGTTCTTAAATACTGGAGTTAGCCTGATGACAAAGAATCAAATGAGCCACCGGCATCAATAATACCAATAGATTTCATATTAATCGACATATACCTTCTACTGTCTAAAGGCTGGGGCTTCTTTAGCCAGTGAGCACCACATAACCAAAGGAGAAAAGGGGAAAGGGAAATTTACCCAACATGCACCATATGCAAGTAAATACTACCAATGTGGTTTGCCTACCTACAACCACTTAAGGGTTAAGACAAAAGCTGTCTGGAGCCCAGCTATGTGGGTTCCTCCTTTGACAGCTGTGGGATCTCAAGAAGATGACAGTTACACTATGTTTCAGTTTGCTCATCTGAGAAAATGAGCCACCATCTACTGAGGTGACCGCAGCAGCAGCCAACCCACTTAGCACCTGTTGGTGGCTACTCACACAGCTACCAACAGGTGATCTGAAAGACTCAGGTCATTCATGTGCAACAGTACATTTTAAATTCCAAGCTAGAAAAAATAAGTACTACTAATAAGGTGGTTCTTGTTTTTCTGATAGACTAACATACTAGGCTCATAGACTTAAAGCACTTATAACACCACCTGGCATACAGCAAGCACCCAATATATGTCAGCTACTTCTCATTTCCCTCACAGCACCCTCGTGAAGAAAATAAAACCCCACAATTAGGTCAACAATGTTTTCCACTTACAAAGGAGGCATTTTGCAAAGACAGGTAATTCACTTGCTCAGAGATACAGAAAGTGACAGAAGTAAGTAAACGCCATTCTCTTTCCACTGTGCAAGGCTGGCTGTGTTATTTACACTGCTACCAGCTAAGGCCTACTACAAAATAAAAAAGTCACATACCTCTCAGTGAATGACACTTCCTCACGGAAGTCAGATTGTGCTAAAATGAAATCAGATTGTGCTAATCTTGACGTCCCATCTCAACTTAAAAAAAAAAAAAAAGGTATTGTTTTCCCAGGTACACAATGCTGAAGAAAACTGCTGCCAAGTCTTAAAAACAACCGACCATCTCCAAGTGAGTTTGGTTGACCCAGGCCCTTTCCAAACCAAGCCATACGGGAACTCACAAAGAGAAAGGGGAAAGAGAAAGGGAGGGATTGATGGGTAAAAAGACCCAAGACAACTTCAAAACAAAAAAATGTACACATGTATTTTGTCCCAAAGGCATCTGCTATGATTTATTAAACTAAGGCCAATAGCTCCCATTCTTAATGAATGAGCTGGCGCATCTCCAATACACACACGGCACTGACATAGGCTCAAGGCCTGCAGGGGCCGTTTTTCCCTCTGGGAGACACCTGACAGATCACAGGTCAGTCTTAAACAGCTGGAAGCAAGATGTCTACAAGCAGATAAAATGCGCTTGCTCTTTTTTTTCCATTCCAGGGATTGAATTTTTAGGAACTGTTTAATACAAGACATTAGCCCGGGAGGTCAGGAAACCTGATTTCCAGGCCTAAGATGGTCCAGGCGTCTCTCTCCGGGGGCGGGCTCCTCCGCCTGCCCCTCCCTCGCCCCCTTGGCATCCTCCAGAGGCCAGCGGCGGGAACAGGGCTGCCCCGGGCCACCTGCCATCTCCCCTGCCACCCTTCCAACAGTTGCTTCAGACTCGGGAGAGGCCGCCCTGGCTCCGGGAGCATGCTGTCAGCTCTTTTCTCGACTCGCCGCCCTGCCCAGAGGCGGCTGCAGGAGGGCGCGCGGCGGCGTGGGTGGCAGCGGCGGGAAGTCGCCCGACCGGACCCCCGGCGGAGCCGGATCCCGCGGAGCGCGCGCCGCAGCCGGAGGGGTGAGGCCCGGGCGGCCCGTACCCCGGCCCCGGACCCCAGCCCCGCAGCCCAGCGGACCCGGCCGACTCGGACGCCCCGCGCCGCCGCGCACTCACCGCCGCACTCGGCAGAGTACTGGTCCCCCCAGTCCCCGGACTGCGGGCTGCAGCCGCCGCCGCCCGCTGGGGCCTCCTGCTGCTGCCGGTGCTGCAGCTCCTGCTTGAGCAGGGAGAGCGGCGAGTAGTGCTCGGTGGCCAGGGCGCCTAGCCGCGGCCCGGCGGAGAGGACCACCAGCAGCAGCAGCAGCAGCAGGGGACGCCGGGCGGCGCCCGCGGCGGCCACAGCGCCGCCCCAGAAGCAGCAGCAGCAGCAGCAGCCGGCAGGTGCCATCTTCCCTCAAGGCGCATGTGCGGCAGCCCTAGCCCGGCTCTCAGGCCTCCCTGCCTCTAACCCACGGCGGACAGGTGGACCGTAGCAAGAGGGCGGGGCAAGGGGAGAAGCATTGCATCCTGGGAACGGTAGTCCCAGCTCCGCCAGCCCCGGGCCGCCTTGCCGGTGCTGGGACTACCAATCCCAACAAGCTGCGCGCTGCGCAGGTCTTCCGGTCTGGCGTCTGACGTCTTACCCGCCACAGAATCGGAAGTTCTGGGCAGCTGTTGAGTGAAAATGGGCAACGGCGGGCGGAGCGGGCTGCAGCAGGGGAAGGGGAACGCGGAAGGGGTGGCAGCGACTCCTACTGCTGCTTCGGCCTCCTGCCAGTACAGGTGCATCGAATGCAACCAGGAGGCCAAAGAGTTGTACCGAGACTATAACCACGGTGTGCTGAAGATAACCATCTGTGTGAGTTGTCAGGTGTGGGGTGTCCTTGGGAAGAAAATGGCGCGGCGGGACTTGGGGACAGGGAGGAGCAGGGTCCTCTGATACTGTCGTTAGTTCGGTGGTTGACATTCCCGCCCGAGAACTCAACTATCCGACAGCGCTTTTCTCATACTGGGGCATATTTGGGTGATATGACCTAAGCCGGCGAACGGACCGGACAGACAGATAGATGTGGACATTTTGCAGAGAAATTTAAAGATCGAACTAGGTTGACATTTTGGTTCATGCCAAAGCTACTTCATTCTAGCTCTTCTATCTTTGACAGAGAGGTGGTACCATCCTTACCCTCCACACCCATGTTGAATTCACCTACGATGCATTTTAAAGGTTTCATCAATTGTAGTTATTGGATGTCTACTGAGTACAAAGCGCTATTCTAGACGTTGGTGGTACAAAACCCAAAAGTGAGGAAGTAAAAATTTTTGTTTCAAGGTGTTCGTAGTTTATTAAGAGAGAATAATCTTATGTTTAAAGAGCCTACAAAGTTGGAGGTTCTTTGGGGGTATTAACAAAGAACCTGTCACAGAGTAGACAGTACATTTTTGTCCCATTTCAGATCTTGTGATTTTCTGATAATCTCTTTAGTAAATTATGATCTGTAGTAATATACAAGAGAATAGACAAACTGAGTATACACCTATATAATCTAGTGTCAACCACTTAACGTTCTGGTGCATACACCCGCAATTTCCTGTTCCTCTCTCAAATGCTTCCCCTCCTTTGTCAAAATGTCAATCCTTGTAAATCCAGTATATTGCCCGGTCTGTCCCTGAACCCGTGCAGCTGTAAGTTGCTGGGGAAAGCAACTTAAATTCGTGACCATTTACCTCACATAGGCCCTTCATGCTCTCTGGCAATTGTCTTTCTTCCTTTCCTTTCTCCTTTCCTTTCTCCTTTCCTTTCTCCTTTCCTTTTTCCTTTCCTTTTTCCTTTCCTTTCCTTTCCTTTCCTTTTTCTTTTCCTTTCCTTTCCTTTTTTCCTTCTTTCCTTTGCTTTCCTTTCTTTCCTTCTTTCCTTTCTTTCTTTTCTTTCTTCCTTCTTCCTTTCTCCTTCCTTCCTTCCTTCCTTCCTTCCTTCCTTCCTTCCTTTTTCTCCCTCTGTCACCCAGGCTGGAGTGCAGTGGGGCAATCTCGGCTCACTGCAACCTCCACCACCCAAATTCAAACGATTCTTCTGCCTCAGCCTCGCAATTAGCTGGGAATACAGGCACGTGCCACCATGCCCAGCTAATTTTTGTATTTTTATTAGAGACAGGGTTTCACCATGTTGGCCAGGCTGGTCTTGAACTCTTGACCTCAAATGATCTGCCCGCCTCAGCCTCCCAAAGTGCTGGGATTACAGGCATGAGCCACTGTACCTGGCCCTGTTACACTTTCTTGGTCCACCCACATTCCCCACTCTTCATGACAATCATCACATAACTTTTCTTTGAATTTCCCATGTGTCTTCCTGTTATGCTAAGAAAACAGAAGAGAACTTCTAACAGATTTGCAACAACATAAACCCAATACAAGCATTTGTTATTTCTTTACTGTACTCTTTTTCTGCCTTCTGCTGGATCATTCCCACCAGCATACATACTGTCGTCCATCAAAAACAATAAAACCAATACCACCAACAAAATACACTTGATGCCACTTCCCCCTTCTTCTAAGATATGTTTGTACTATCCCTTTCCTAGTTTCTTTTGAACCTGCTTTAGTCAGGTTCCCACCCACATTTCATTAGAAACTGTTGTTAAGATCACCACTTCCAATTTGCTAAATCCAGTAGTTGATTCTCAGTTAATGATCAGCAAACCTGTTAGAAGTTCTTTTCTATTTTCTTAGCGTAACGGGAAGACACATGCGAAATTCAAAGGGAGAAATGTTACGTGATGATTGTCATGAAGAGTGGGAATGTGAGTAAACTAAGGAAATGTAACAGGGCCAGGTACAGTGGCTTATGCCTGTAATCCCAGCATTTTACCTGATTGCATCCTCCTCCTTAATGCTGTATGTGCTTCCCAGGAGTCAGTGTGCTTCTTGTTGTCTTCTAACTTCACCTGCTATTACCCCTCAAACTCCTTTCTTTTGCTTCACCTTCTCTTAATTGTGCTGTATTCCAAGGTGTAGTCATTGGGCCTCCTTCTGTCTGCATGGTTTCCCTTGAAGAGCTCATTCTGTCTCATGGCTTTATTTTGATGATTTCCAAATTTATATCTCTACCCTGAACCTCTTCCCTGAATTCCAGATTCAAATGTCCAACTACCTGCTTGACTTCTCCACTTGGATTTCAATAGACACCTCAAATACCCCATCACAGTGGCAACTTTACCATTTTAATTTCTAAGATAAAGAAACCTTGGAGTCATCCCTATTTCTGCTTCTCCTCCCACATCCCATATTCAGTTACTCAGCAAATCCTGTTCTATCTTCAAATCATCTTCAGAATCCACTACGTTCACTACTGCTGCTGCTACATCCTCATCCAAGCCACCATCACGTCTACCTGAACTATTGTAACTTCTGTCTGGTGTCTCTGCATCATCCTCGCACCTCTTCAGTCTTCTCTCCACACAGTAGCCAGGAACTGATCTTTTAAAAATGTAAGTTAGATCATATCATCCCTTTGACCAAAACTTTCTGATGATTTTTCATCCTAGAGTTAAGGCCAGAATCCTTGAACCGGCTTATAAGGCCCTGTGTAGTCTCCTGCTACTCTTTCCCTTCCTTATTTTACATCAGTCCCACTGGCCTCCTGGTGCTTCTCAGACCAGGCAGGTTCCTTCCTCAGGGCCTTTGCACAATTCCTGGAGCAGGTACTAGATAGATACTATTCTATCAAGTATCTGTGTGACTGTTTCCCTTATCTCCTTCAAGTACTTTTTCAAACATCTCAGAGAGGTCTACTCTGACTACCCTATTGAAAAGTATGATATGCTTCCCAGCTTTATCTTTGTCCGTTGCACTGATCTTCTTGTAATCTTGTATGTAATTGGCTTATTGTTGTGTGTCTTTTCCTACTGGAAAGTAAGCTGCAAGGACAGACATTCTGTCTCTTTTACTCATTAATGTAGCTGTATCACCCAGAACAGTGACTGACACTTAGTAGCCACTCAGTAAATATCTGTTGAATAAATGTATCACTTCCAGATTTTTAGATTAGCATATGCTTGGCCATCCAGGTAGGAGGAAGAGAACAAGATCTTATATGTGGTCTAAACTTAGTAACTGTCGGATTGGTCCAATTAAATGGTCCATTTGGAAGATGATAACCACATAACTTGTCTGAAGAAAAACCAGTATTTGTATAAGCATTTTAATTAGTAGTCTTTAATAATACAAAATAATCTCTTTTTATTAGCATTAAGCTAACAAAATCCCTTTGCTAAACCACAGGTGTTTATTCTTTTATTTATGGAAAGGCAAAATAATTATTGGATCGCTGTTTAGGTCAACATTCACATCCCCCCTCCCTTTTTTTCCCTAACATCATACTCTTTCTCCCAGCAGACAGATTTTGGAGTTATACTTGGCATGTTGAATGGTGGCATAGTACTTTATGGATTCGTTATTGTCCACAGTCATTCTGTAATGAGTTGGAGTGTGTAATGGCCTTGTCTCTATCATGCTAATGCATACTAAACTTTAACCATAATAGCGTGACTCAGGAAAAATCATTTCGTTGATGTCAGGCTAAAAAATTAAACCATGAAGCGGTTAATTCCTTTAAAGGCTCTCCAGCCTCTGAGATATAAAAAGTGAGAAGTTTTTAGACATTAGACTATTTGTTGTGACATAGTCTCCCAAGTTTCTAAGTGGTTACTCATACATACTTTGGTCTCTTCCCTGCTAAACATGGAGTCAGCAAGATACTCGGGCTGATTGCCCTCTTGTATTTTTCATCCCAATCTCCTTTCCTTTTGCTCTGCTTGTTTTTCCACTGCCATTCCTCCCAGCTTGCCTTTCTGTGTTTGTCTAACTTTCCTCTATCTAATATATCATATAGCCCTTGTTTTTAGCCAATCCTGCCGCTTCAGCTCTTCACAATTTATTATAATTATGCTTAAAGATACAGTGCTTTTAATTTGCTATAGGGCTTGGCTTATTTTAAGTGCTCAGATATTTGATAAATTCATTATTACATTAACAAAACAAAACTCCTATAAGATTCTCCTAAGTTTCCGTTCCCTTCAGCACTACAGCATTTGGCTCCCACCCTTAGGATGCTAGATTCAAAGATGAATAAGACACAGCCCTACCCTTGAGTAGCTTAAAGACTTAAAGAAGGGAAGGAGTGCTCCTAGAGATGACCAGGAAGGAAACAGTAAGAATATTTAAGAAAAAATTGGTTTGGCCAATTTATATTCTAAAAGAGACCCGATTTGTTTAGGCATTGGAGAACACAGCAGGACAAAGGAAGTCATATCCATGTTAAGACAGGTAGTGGGGGCTGGGCGCAGTGGCTCATGCCAGTAATCCTAGCACTTTGGGAGGTCGAGGCAGGTGGATCATGAGGTCAGGAGTTTGAGATCAGCCTGACCAACATGGTGAAACCTCATCTCTACTAAAAGTACAAAAATTAGCCCCATGTGGTGGTACATGCCTGTAGTCCCAGCTACTCAGGAGGCTGAGGCAGGAGAATCGCTTGAACCGGGAGGTGGAGGTTGCATTGAGCCGAGATTGCACCACTGAATTCCAGCCTGGGCGACAGAGTGAGACTCCGTCTTAAAAAAAAAAAAAAAGACAGGTGGTGGAAGCAGCCTGAATTCCCAGAGGATGCATGGTCCTTCTTGTGTTGTAGGGATTCTTTAGAGGAAGATTTTTCCCTTTTCAGGATACTTGCCTATAAAGTAGTAAATGAAACAATTTGCCAAAATAAAAAACATTTGCTAAATCTAAGCAGGCATGGTGGCTCACACCTGTAATTCCAGCACTTTGGGAGCCTGAATGGGCAGACCTCATTTGAGGTCAGGAGTTCAAGACCAGCTTGGGCAACATGGTGAGAACCTGTCTCTACCAAACTACAAAAATCAGCTGTCATGGTGGCACGCACCTGTAGCTCCAGCTACTCATGAGGCTGAGGTGGGAGGATTGCTTGAGCGCAGGAAGCAGAGGTTATAGCGGGCCGAGATCCTGCCACTGCACCCCAGCCTGGACTACAGAGTAAGATCTTGTCTCAAAAAGGAAAGAAAAGAAAAGAAACGTATATACTAAATTTAATAAATACAACTCCCAATGGTCTGTTTTGGAATATCTGCATTTGTTTGTTTTGTGTTTGTGTGTATGTGTGTGGTTCTCCTCTTTACATTCAAGGTGAAGGTAGAGGGAAAGGAAGTTGAAAGCAGCACTTAAGGGAAAAGCAAATAATAGAGAACAAGAAATGTTAAGTCTAAACTGACTGAGGGAACCAGCAGACTTTAATGACTTCTCAGCATTTATAAAACACTCTGGATACTAAGAAGGGAAATGGGCAAAGCACATAGCATATCACATAGTACCAGAAGCTGCCTCCTTTGTTTGATTTCATGTCACCCTATGCTCATCCCATTGTAGCCTTGGATGCTACATAGTCTGATGACAGTGGTCATCAGACCATATCATAGAGACATGTTTGTCTTCTGCTTCTAAACTATTAGGTCCTTGATAGAAACTGGCTGAAGGTGAATATCTAGCACCTTGTAAGTTCTTGGTCCATAAAATGGCCAAGAAAAGAGAGCAATTGTTATGCATGCAATAGCCACTCCAAAGACACTTGTCAAACAAATGAATGCAAAAGGAGTAACAACTGCTGTGTCTCCTGGTACTGGTTTCTGCCTATCTCCTTCCAAGTATTGTCCAAATCCCCAGCCTTAGACTTGTGATGCTATCCAAAAATGGGTCTTAGAGAACATTTAAAGGACAAGAGAAAGGTCCCTGCCTTCTTAGGGTTTCCATTTTAACATGAAGCAGCCTCTCTGGGGTCCCAATCTTGCATGTAGAAAGGGAGGAGGTGTGTTCCACATGAGTAGCCAAGGGAGACCTATCAAACTGCTCTTTGTCATGGACATGGAATTTCTGATTCTGGGGCTTCTGTTTAGATGCTGGCATACTCCCTGCTCAGGTAAAGAACTCCAAAAATATCAACTCTTTATGCTTCAGTTTGATTAAGCAGATTTAAGTTTGAGGTAACAGTATATCTCCCTCCTTTCATTGGATCACTCAATAACTAGAAAACATTTCTATTTCTGTAATGACACAAATGAAGTGGAGAAACTATTTAAATTGGGAACACATCCAATGTTTTATTACATTTGAATTGCAGGGTTAATATTCTTCAGTGCACTTCATTTTTCTTCCATCACTTTAATTAAAAGGACAGACTAGAATGTTTTTACGCTCATCACTCTTCTATTTTATCTTCTCAAAGTTTCCAAATGTTGCGTATTTGAATTGGAGCCATTCCAGTAGTCCCCCTTATCTTTGGGGGATACTTTCCAGACTCACAGTGAGTGCCTGAAACCATAGATAGTACAGAACCTAGTTACCATCAGTTGGAGAATGTTTCTGTTCATGCTTTCCACCCACAAATTTAATGCCTTTTCCTTTTTTTTTTTTTTTTTTTTTTTTTTTTTTGGAGAGAGAGACAGAGACAGGGTCTTGCTTTCTTGCCCAGGAGGGCCTCAAATTCCTGGCTTCAAGCCATCCTCCCACCTGACTCCCAAAGGCCTGGTATTACAGATGTGAACCATGGCACCTGGCCCTACCTTTTCCATCTTAGCACTTCTCATATTCTGTGGCCTTAATTTTTAGTTTGAAATGCTACAGCAAAACTAGCACAATTTTTTTTCTTTACAGTTGCAGATAGAAGATTCATTCTTACCATAGATCTTAACGACCTCAGCATAAGATTTTTTTTTTCCTTATTAGTCAAGAACTTTCACCTTTTCACTTCAGGCATTTTACAGCTTCTCTTGAGCATATCCAAATTGCCAGGATCACTACTATCGTGCTTTGGGGCCATTATTAAGTCAAATAAAGGTTGCTGGGCACGGTGGCTCACGCCTGTGAACCCAGCACTTTGGGAGGCCGAAGCAGGTGGATCACCTGAGGTGAGGAGTTCCTGACCAGCCTGGCCAACATGGTGAAACCCCGTCCCTACTAAAAATACAAAAATTAGCCAGGCATGGTGGCATGCACCTGTAATCCCAGCTATTCAGGAGGCTGAGGCAGGAAAATTGCTTGAACCTGGGAGGTGGGGGTTGCAGTGAGCCGAGTTCATGCCACTGCACTCCGGCCTGGGTGACAGAGCAAGACTCCATCTCCAAAAAAAAAAAAGAAAAATGTCAAATATGGGTGACTTGAGCCACAAGCATTGCAATACCTGATCCTCAATCCTGATAACCTGGACAGTGACTAATGCCTTAACAGGCGGGGAGCATCTGCAATGTGGACACACTAGAGAAAGGGGTAATTCACATCCTGGGCAGGGGAGCAGGGCAGTATGCAATTTAAAACTTATGATTATTTCTGGATTTTTCCATTTAATATTTTCAGAATGTTGTTGACCTTTGGTAACAAACTGTAGAAAGCAAAACTGTGGCTAAGGGAGGACTGCTGTAGTTTTATAAAGTGAATAATAGCATTGATGCAACTCTGAATAGTACTGCTTTAGAGGTCACATTTCTAATGAGTTTGTTTGTGTAACCTGCATTTTTTATGTTCTAGTAGTGTTGGGATTTGGTAACATGATAATCACATGTGTCTAGAGAATCTGAACTCTAAATAGGTGACCCTTCAGGGGGAAAGAAAAGCCATTTAATATGAACTGCTAAGAGCCAAGGGAGCCTTGATTTTGGAACCTAGAGCCAGGTGCAGAGCCCAGTTCCTTACACACAGCCCAGCACTCTCCATTGTCCCTACTCTAGCAGAGAAAGACCATTTTCTTTCCATATCCTTGATATTACTGGAGAGAAACCCAGGCTTCCCCTGTTATCAGCCACCTCAGGATCATTGGGATTTGCCCCATTCCTTACCTACTTGCAGCTCTCAATAGTTCTGGGGACAAGGTGACTTTGCTGAATACTTTTCTCCAAATCATGTGCCAAGAACCATAAAGTCGGGGCCATCTAGCCAAGAGGCAACAATTTATCAATGACGGTGCATTATAAATGTATTTATTTTATAATAATTTCTACAAATTGAAAGTAGAATTGCATATAGAGTCTCTACAGAGATTTTATTGAAAGTAAAATCTTCTGGAATACTTTCCTGCCTAAACTCAGTCTTTAAATTAGATATATTTTTAGCTTCTTGAACCTAAGGTTAAAATATTAATATTCCTACCCTAGAAGATTATATTTGGTCCTTTCTGAAACCACTTCTTATATAGATGAACATTTTGTATCTGAATGGACGTTTATATAAATAATTGTTAATATGGCCATATTGTTATATGTGTCCAAAATAGACTGCTGTTTTGAAATCCTTGAGGATTTCAGAAAGTATACATTTGCTTGTTCTAATATCATCTTGCATTATTTCAGAAATCCTGCCAGAAACCTGTAGACAAATATATCGAGTATGATCCTGTTATCATCTTGATTAATGCTATATTATGCAAAGCTCAGGCCTACAGACATATTCTTTTCAATACTCAAATAAATGTAAGTTGTGATCATTTTATTTTTTAATTTTATTTGATGCTGTTGCATTTTAAAAGAATAATAAGAATTTTAAAGCAAAAGAATATTATAAAAGGAGAAAAGAAATTCTAATGAGAGTGATTCTTTTATTGCAACATATCTGGAAGTTTATAGAAATAACAGATGTTGATTTTAAAAGGTGCACAATGCTTAGCGAGTGTTTAAGAATGTAGTCACTGGCAGGAAACAGACAAGCCATAATCTGAATTACCTGCTAGTAAATTGAAACAGACATCACTGGTTTTGAACAGAATATAATTAGACATATCAGGTAGGGAGAGGATTAGACCTAAATGAAGTAACCAAACATTAAAAGAAAAACGTTTTTTAAAAAAAATTTAGCCAGGCACGGTGGCTTATACCTGTAACCCCAGCACTTTGGGAGGCCGAGGCAGGCAGATCACAAGGTCAGGAGTTCAAGACCAGTCTGGCCAATATGGTGAAACCTCATCTCTACTAAAAATATAAAAATTAGTTGGGCGTGGTGGTGAGCACCATTGTACTCCAGCCTGGGTGACAGAGTAAGACTTTGGCTCAAAAATAAATAAATAAAATCACACACACAATTTATTGCAGTTTATGCTTTGCTATTAATGTATAAGGTAAATAACATTCAGTTTAATCAAAATCATGATTTATAAAGTTGATTTTTCAAAATATACTTTAAGTGTATTGAATTGTGAACTCTTTAATAGTGCAGGTAGATTTGACAGATAACATACAGGACAGTCAATTAAATTTGAGTTTCGTATACACCATGAATTAATTTTTTAGTATAAGGAGGTCCCAAATATTGCCTGGAACATAATTATATAATAAAAATTTATTCATGGTGTATGTGAAACTCAAATTTAACTGGATGTCCTTTTATTTTATATATATATATATATATATATATATATATATATATGGGTTTTTTTGTTTTT